ATATATTATACAAGCTAACTTTTGCTTTCCAAGTTTACCCTTATTAAATGTATTCAATTTATCCAAAAAAATTTCACAACTTTCTTACCATATTATTATTATTATTTTTTAAACGTCAATTTTTTAATAAAGAAAATGTCTGCTTTAAAAAAAAAAAAAAAAAGAAGAAGAAGGAGGAAATGTCCCTTTTTTTTTTTTAAACAAGGAGGACCCTTTTTTTTCCCCTATCTAAACCCTTTGTGTTAAAAAAAAAAAGAAGGGACATTTCCTCTTAAAAGCAGATATTTTCTTTATAAAAAATAATTGACGTTAGAAAAATATTAATAAGATGGTAAGAAAGTTGTGAATTTTTTTTGGATAAATTGTATACATTTAATAAAGGTAAACTTGGAAAGCAAAAGTTAATTTGATAATATATTAATGGCATTGCTTTAAGTGTAAGGAGAATTACACATGTCAAGCAAAAAAGGGAGAAGGTTCAAAGGAGAAGGTTGCTAGCATTCCTCACCTCACAAAGTGGTTCTACTTGAGGTGAAGCCCTCATCACAAGCAAAGTTCGAGCCTAAGAAATCCATCAAACCATCCCCAGATTTTGGATGGTGGACAAAGAAGATTTAACTACGTTTAAGAGTGCTTTGAGGAGCATAAAGCGGGAAAGTTGGATAGGTGCTTTCATGAAACAAAAGCAAAGTTGGTGGCTATATGGGGATTTATAGAACAAGGGTTGGTATGCGATTTGCCTATCAAGGAAGGCAAGGAGTAAGGAGTTTGGCATAGGGATCTCTCTTCTACACAAGAGGTCTGGGTGGCCCAAGTTTAGCTTGGGTGGAGCACCTTCTCACCTAAGGTGCATTGAGGCAAGAGGTTTCTTGTCATGGTGGAGCTCCTAAAAAGTACTAGAACAGTTTCCAAGAGGTTGACGAGGTTCTAGGGGTCAAAAATTGTTCATGGGTGATTAATGGTTAGCCAAGATGGAGATTGTTGTGTTTTGGCTCACCATAGATGCGAGATGGGAAGAGGAAACAAAGGGATGGAAGGAGGGAGAAGAAGTTGCAATAAGGCAACAACACAATAGGCGACCGGTCGCTTTGGCCATGTAACCGGTTGGTTTTGGCCGATGCTCTTGTTGGCATCTTTGTCTCCAATGAGGGGTCGCTCATTCCTAGAAGCCGGTCGCCACGTGAACAATGTCGCACGTATGTTTGATGTTTTGGCGTGTTTTGACGAGCTTCTCCCATTATTTTGGGGTTTTCTAGCCTAATTTAATAGGGTTTTAGTTTCCTACTCTAGGTAACTTGTAGCAAAAGTCCTATGCATTATAAATAGGACTTTTAGGGCTAGGTTAATTTATAAGAGAGAGACACAAGAGAGCTAAGGTTTTTGTGAGAGCTAAGGGGGTTCAAGTTGTAACCAAAATTGTTCTTATATACTAGTGAATTTCTCGGGTGATTACCAAAAGAACATAGGCACGAGGCCGAACATCTATAAATCTTTGTGTTCTTGTGTGTTTGTTTTTCTCTTCGGCGTGTGTGTGTTTTATTCTCAAAAGGGGTTTATGTGTGTCATCGCATAATCTATCAATGACAATGTCTTGGAGTGTTTCCGTACAATAGAACCTGGGTATGATATGATCTGATATGATATTTAGGATGCTCAAGATTCATGACATCCAATGTGGATCAAATGTTGAACCTGAGAATCACTCATAATAAACCCATCATCGTACAAATAATTTTTGTCAAGACAATCATCACTTTCTTCACTTCAGTAAAACGGTTTTTGTCAAAACTCTAACATCAGTTAATTACATTCAAACAAATCATAACACTAATAAGACAGAAAAAGGATGAATTTAAGACACCCTTTGCTATAATTTCATTGCTTTTCTTTCCGTACACTCACATTATCCAATAACATTCAGGTACAAAATATAGACCATACCACCATCATCACCATATTCATAAAAAAGAAAAAGAAAAAAAGAATGATGCATGTTCCCTTGTAATTATCAGATATAAAGCTTGATGAAATGATCTCGAAACCCTGCATATATATATGCTACAATGTATCAGACGAAAGGTAAGGCAATAAATATGTACAAAATGATCTGATATGCAATTTGAGTTTGAGACTTACTAGTGAGAATGCTAGGAGCCTTCTTTCTTCTCAAGGCTCAAGCTTTCCCTTCTGTTTGAGATTAATCTATACATTATTTTCTTCTTGCAAGAGAGGGACTTTCCTCTCAGAATTAGGTTCCAGCCTCTCATCAACACATTGTTGGTCTTGCTGCCCTTCATCTTCTCTGATTTGTCCCCATGATATTGCAAAATACCCCATTCCAATTACTACTGATCCTATCACACTGCAAAAACAAAAATAAAAAGGAAACCAATGAGTTTATTTTGGTCAGCATTTAGCCCTTGAGCTCTGCCTTAAGTTCTCATATGTCTAGAGGAAATAGATTGGAAGACAAATTTCTAATAAATTACCTTCCATAATGCAGACTATTTGCAGATAAGCTGACACCAAAAATGGTAGCAAAAACAATCCCAAATGGCTTGAACAGCGGCACATAGTATGGACCCTTCATGCTCATGCACCAATTGTGAACCCGGCTTCGAACTAGACCCCCAAAAAGTGCCTACAACAGAGCATATATGCAAAGTCTTGTGTGACATACAGCGAAGTTGATCAACTTAATTAATAGCTATGTTATGTGCTAATCAATTACTTACTGTTAAAATAATGAGAAGGGGCTCCATGTTGAGTTTTAATCTCCAAGCACTTGGGTTTCTTTCTAAGAACAAGGATAATATTGCGCTCTGTATTGTCCCAAGCAAGCTATAAAAAGTTACCACTTCCATTGCATCCACTTCCGGATATAGTTTCATGGTTCCCAGCTAAGTAACCAATTAGAGATTGAACAAGTAAAAACAAGAGGACAAAAAAAAACAAGTGTAGGAGATTAAAGAGATTATATGGAGAAGTGATTATTCGTCAACCATAATCACTCCCAAACAAGCCGTTAATTAATTACCTGAATGATGTTCCATACTGAGACAGATAAAGAAGCAGATGCCAGTAAAATGCCACCCACAACCCAATGTTCCGTTGGTTCTGAGGAGAAGACCAAAAGTGCTTTCTGTGCTAAGACTTGAAGTTGCTTCCCAGGTGAAGAAGAAACTGAAGATGTTCTTATATATGCACCCTTGTAGAGTTCAACCGCTACTGCCCCAGTGATTGATATTATCGTCCCACTTACTTTGGCCTGGAAGTTGGAGCTTCTCCAATCTAGCCTTGTCCTTCTGTAGAGATAATTTGGGTTAATTTAAAGCAGCACCTTTCTCTCTCTTTAATGGTAAAAAATGTTAAAACATTAGATGATGAAAGGAACAAGTTGAGTTGAGGGAAGAATTAACCTGAGAATGATGGAGAGCAGGAAGGAAAAAGTTGGGATCATTAGGCCCATGGCACACACAAGAATTGGAGAACTGTAACTTAGGCCTAGGAATCCAAGGTTCTGAGATATTGTTATCCTACAAAGAGAGAATTAAAGTAAGTATTGCTACAAGAACATTTTTTTTTATATTTTTATATTTATATTTTTATTGAAACATTACTTGAAGGTTGAGAATATGGATGAACATCTTTTCATTAGGACTATTTTCCTAAATTAGAAGGAGCATCCAAAAGCATAATGCCTGGGACTAATCAAAGAAGAAGCCCAACAAAGACTTGGTACTTTGGGCTTGGATAGAGTTGGAGAAACAAAATGATGGGTATGATTGCAAATTTACTTTGGGTTTGAAACTTGGAATTTAATTGACCTCTCTGTTTTCTAGGCCAGGAGATTCAGGGAAGGAAATTTATTTTTTATTTTAAAAAAAATGAGTAAATGAGGATTCAGATAAAAAAAAAAAAAAAGGAAGAAGAACAAAAGAAGAGTAGGCAAAAATTTGAGAATTTATTTATTTTTGAAACTAGGCTAAAATTGGTATTAATGATGATATTGGGGTGTTAGGCCACTTAATTAAGGCAATGTGCACGTCATTTTGTATCCAAGCTTGATTCCCCTCCTATTATATTATAGTAGTCTAAAATATCAATTTGTAAAAAAATAAAATACTTAAAATGAAATGTTTGTTGAATATTACATAACCCAAAAATTGATGAACGTATTGACAATTTGCAATGTTGCCCTTCAACTAACAGAAAGACTAGGCCCACCACCATACTATAGCAGAATATTCTGAGGCTTCTTGTTGGGGTCAACTCGAGAATCCATGGATTCAGGGTGAATGGTATCCTTTTCCCTTGGGAGAGGGAGAGGGTGGAGACATAGGTGTTTAAAGTTTACGTTACGTAAAAGCCTATGAGAAGAGATGAAATGAGAAGAACAAACCGACCCTGTTAAACCCAAGAAGAAGCATCGCACGAACAGATTCAAGCTGAAGAGTGACTGTTCTCTTCTGCCTCCGTTTCTGCAGTAAATTCACGAGAAAAAGAAGAACAAGTTACAAACCAAGTATGTGTTTGTGTGTGTTTGTGAGAGAGAGAGAGAGAGAGAGAGGTAGAAAGAAAGAGAACCTGGGGCAGTGAAAGATGAAAGAATAGAGGAGGAGGATGAGAGAGGAAAGGGAGTGGGTGTAGAGGACAAATACAAAAGGGCTCATGCCATCAACTGTCATGACAGTTTTTGCCCAAATGGTTAATATTATGGTACAACCTTCCATTGTCACCATAACCGAAAACGGCACCGCTTCCCATAGCCGAACACTTCTCATCCACATCACTTGTGATCACTTCTCTTAATTTGCATGTATGTACATAATATGTAAGAAGAAAGGAAGAACAAGAACAAGCAGCAGCAGCAGAAGAAGAAGACTGTATATGTTTTGATTCTCTTTCTCTATATATTTATGGAGCAACAATAAAAGAGGGAGAGGGAGGGCAACCCTTGGGGAAATGAAGCAGCTACTTGACAAGGAGAAGTAGCTACTCGGATATATTATACATTTCGAATTATTATTAATGGCAGCTAAGGAGGCTGACCTTTGTGGGGCAAAGGTTTGTTGGACATATTGCTTTCGTTTTTGGCCCAAACTTGGCTACATGTTTGCCATTCATTCGTCCCTCACTCTAATATTTGTTTTTAGTGCTCCCCAACTGAGCAACTCTATTACTAATATGTTGTTTGGTGGGCTTATGACTCTTTTTCAAAGCTAGAAATTATGTTTGCAGTTAAATAATTTAGAACCACAGGCTGAAAATGAAAGCTCTGTCTTACTTGGGATTTTCCAGTAACATCTTCAACCACCTTACCAGTTTATAGTATTACTTCATAGCTTCTTAGGCAAGTATTTGTGCTGCTTTGGATGGAATTTCATGCCAGCTTTTGTTACTATTAGCATATTTCCAGGATGAAATTCCTGTTTCAGTGAATATGTTCATCTTCCCAAATGACCCTGCATTTCAATTTTAACTCACCCAGTATTGGATGTATGAAAAGCTCTTGATATTGATTATAATATTCTTATATTGTATTTGATTACACAGTTGAAAATATGTTCTTCAAGAACTTTGGCCTTTGCCATCATTTTCTCCCCCAATGCCTAATTCCAACATTATTACCTTATTTACCACAAGTAATGAAGGATATCATACATCTAAAAACCAAAGAGAAAGAGTATATTTCACTTCCAAGCAAAGGAGCTGCTCCTCACTGACATGTTGCTCTTGAGGCAGCTTTGACCCTGCAAACTCAATATTCAACTCATGCAGCTGATATCTTTGATCATGCTCCACATGTTCATGACCCTACATTACGTGGAAAATAAACTGTTATTTTCTATTTAATACTTTTCAGAAAATTCTTCCCTCAGGTCTTGGGGCATATTATGAAGATAACTACCAAAACTGACAAACAAAGTTTCTTAAAAAGAATATATATGTGCAGGAAAACATCAAACATAAGTCTCCATATACTCATTGGAAAGTAGACAAGATAATCATCAATTAAGAGTATAACTACAAGTGCATGGACAATATAAAATACAGAGAAACTCTACAAATGAATTACAAACGCTTTAGTAGTTTGAAAGGTTCATTAATGGCAAGCCAATAAAACTGCCTCCTCATGCAATGAGGAGCCAGATAGTGCCAGCCAATCCAACTTGAATCGTCTTTTGAAATTTCTACTCTCTCTTGGACATTATTTAAAATGAAACAGATGCATTATAACATGTAGTAACAATGAGCACAACATACTTCTCATGGTATTTGCACAAACTTGCAACCATGCTCAGTTTGCACCAACAAACTGCCTTTGGATGTATGCAGGATTACCAGGAAAAAGAAAAAAGAGTAGAAGAAATCTTTGTGCCAAATGATTGCCTTGACTTGGACAATATCAAATGGTTGTTCCTTGTCCTGCATTACTTAGGGTGACTAATTCCCAACAAGCATGGCCTGAGGAAAACAACTCCCACAATAACCAATCCCAGTTTTCAAAAATGATGGAAAGGGTAGCATTTTAAAAGAACTAAGACAAAAGCAACAGAGAGTACCCGTGTTTTTTGGCAAGAGAGACCACACAGGGCGATGTACTGCATAGAAACTTCTATATTTCTTCAATATGGCTCTGCAATAGAGGGACCCGTTGTCTACTTGATGCCACACTCCTTGCTCCTGTATCATCATCCATCTTCTCTTCTTTTGATTTTCCCCACATCACAGAATAAAATCCAATGACAATAACAATTGCTCCTATCAAACTGCAGCATTCAGAAAATGTAAACTAAGATGTTGAATTAATGACCTTTAGGATTTTTCAACAGGAACAAAATTGGTGCTGCTCCAAAGTCGGCATTTTGATATGGTATTTATGGGGAAAAAAATGAGAGAAACCGTACCTTCCAAGGTAGAAAGTATCTCCTAAGAAGGTGACACCAACGAAAACTGTAATGACAATCCCCAAAGGCTTGAACATAGCTACAAAAACAGGCCCTGTCCTATGAAGGCACCAAGTAGATACACCAACCTGGAATGCTGAGCCAAAGACTCCCTGCAAGAGTAGAATTTAAAGTTTGAGTATCGTAGGTTGATGTTTGAGAAAATATTTCAATGCAATAGGTATATACATGGTTTGGATTTGGTAATCTAATTACCGAGTATAGAACAGCGATCAACCTGATTTTAGGCTTCAATTCCCATGCACTTAGGTCTCTTTCTACAGTCAAAGAGACTACTACAGATTGAATAGCCACAAAGAAGCAATAATAAAATACCATAATCAGCTCTGCGGGGTATTTCTTTAGAACTGATGCCTGAAACATAGACGAGGAATAGTAACTAGTCTTAATTTTCTAACCAAACTCCACACTTTCACGACAGATTTAATTAAATTTTACAGATTTCACCTGTACTATAAGCCAAGATGAGGCCAACACACAATTAAGCGCAATGCACACTCCTCCAAGGACCCAGTTTGACTGTTCCGAGAAAAGTTGGTTATGAGACAATATATCAGTTGAGGATGTCATCAGAAGTGGGGGGCCCTTGTAAAGAGTAACAATGAAAGCCCCTGAAATTGAAACTATTGTTCCCAAGGTTTTAGCAAGGCTACTGGAGCTTCTCCCATCAATTCTTTCCATTCTGAAATTACCCAGTTGAATGAATTTAGAAACAGGTGACAGTCAAAGATTACCAGTTTACCAGTGTCTCAAAATTGCACTGTACAACTCTTATCTGGAATGAGAGAAAAGCTCATCAGCTGAAATTCTCATTGGAAACAAGAAAGCAAGATAATTGAACTATTTACATGGTTCTTTTACAGAGACCTCTAGAAACAGAACAGGTAAAAGCAATGTCATGGTCCTCATGGATACATCACTAGAAAAGAAAAAAAAAAACCTAGGGTTCAGGATTCATTAACAAAATAAGACAATTATGATAGATCATAGTTCAGAATAAAGGAAAAACAAGGATTCTTAAGCTCATTGAAGGCAAAAGTGAAATAGGTAATCATAGAGGGTAGTCACAATTTGCAGTGTGAGTAAATAAGAGGAGGGCATGACCTAAAGATGACTGCCAGTATAAAGGTAAAAGCTGGAATGAGGTTGAGCATAGCCGTGCTTAGAGTAGGAGAGCTCAAATTAATCCCAGCATACCCAAAAAACTGCGCCATGAATCTGCAAAACGCTAATATCAATCAAACCCACTAAACAGAATCCGCTAAAAACACTCCAACGAATTAAAAGCGTCAAATGTGCACACAATACCACCCCCAAAATGCAACCTTTAATTTCCTATGTGGGATTTTATTATAGATGAAAATCGTAACTTACCCAATTAGACCAAGCAAGAAGAACCAACAGAGGGTAGAGAAAGTGAGAGGAGGACGTTCGGATCTACCAAAAACATAAGAGCAAAGAAAGGAATTACTTTTGTGATCAAAGTAGGAAATTATAGTAAAAACAAAATCTTTGGTTTCTGGGTAGTTCACAAAGAGTAAGATTCAATCACCTGTGGAAGGCTAAGGAAATTGGGAGGAGGATAAGGGCTGCAAGAGCGTTTGAGTAGCAGAGAAAGATGAGGTTGCTCATGCCATTAGACATGGCTACTTTGCTCACTATAATTAGCCCAGCTTGTGCACTCTCAGCCAACACCATCCCAACTATTGGTAGTGCTGCAACCTTCCCCATGGCTCTGTTTTTCTTCTTCTTCTTCTTGTTTTTGGTTCTTCAATCTCAGAGCCAGAATTCAGAGACTCAAACTCGTCTCTTGGAAAGTGTTAAATCGTGAAGTTAGAACTCAACTTCGATGCCCCACCATATGCAGACATGTAGTTGGTAGGAGCCTAAAGCCTAGAGGGAGTCAAATAATGTGAAGAAGAGTGAAGACAAACGAAGATGAATATTCCAAGTGATTAAAAATTGATTGGCACCACTTGGGTCGCCCAATTGCATGTTATCTTCAAGCCGGTAAGCTAAAAACTATTGTTTTATATACACGGTTCGTTTGTATTGCATCATTTTATGTCTGCTGTGAGTCACAGCCGCCACCATAGGCTGGAAGGAAACACGTGCAAGAATTCTTTGATGCATAATGTTGGCTAGGTTCAAAAGAGCCCAACAATAGACAACCATTTACAATCTTCCGTTGTTTTTTTTTTTATTGTCTAAGGAAAGAAAAACCTTGAAGGAAGGGACAAGAGCCCAAGTTGTGAGATTCAGTAGCTTTCTATAATTTGAAATGTTCCACTAGAATTTCACACTTCTTTCCTTCATGTTCACATTGAGAAAACTCTATTATACAACAATGTATACTATCATCACTTCCTTTAACTGTTAGGATATAAAGTGATAACCACCGTTGAGGATCTTTCCCCTGAGAATATAAAGCAATAATCACCGTTGGATCTGCAATGTATCCCATACATCGTCGTTGTACGGTGTACGTTGACGTCATATCTACAAAGAAGACTTCTGCACTACTGCTCTTGTATATTGTTTGGTAGCAGAGGGACCTTATTTCGGCCTAGTGATTCGACCAGCTTCTCATCTATGGCCTTCCCCTACATCATCGCATAAAATCCAATAACAATTATGAGTGCACCAATCAACTGCAAAATTGTTCCAAAATTTTCAATAAGAATTCTTTCTTAATCATGAACCAGACTTCTTAACAGGCCAAAGACTTTGTGAACAAGCTGTAGCTTTCACTAACTTCAATTATTCAATCAAACAAAGATTAGAATTTACTTCAGCCTGAAGTTTACTGTTCTTTTGCCCCTCCACAACCTCCCACTTAATTAATAAAGACTAAAGATGACAGCAACAAGTTACAACAAACACTTGAATAGCACAAGTGGCAAGGTTGAAACAAATGAGATGAACAATATTTATACCTTCCAAGATAGACTGAAATCTCCCAAAAAGATGACACCCATGATCACGCTACAAATTATTCCAAGGGGCTTGAACATAGAACAGAAAAAAGCTCCAGCCTTCCACACGCACCAAGTGATCAAACTGTAGCGAAGAACGCTCGAAACAATACCCTATATATGGTGATCTTGCAAAAAAAATTTAATTGCATGCACCAGTGTACTTGATGAATTATGAAAAATCTTTCAAATTCAAAACATGATAGGGTAGCTATTCTCTTACAGCGTATAAAATAGCAATCAGCCCCATATCCAGCCTTGGCTCCCAGGCACCTGCATCTCTAACTGCAATTAAAGTAACTGCTGCAGACTGAATGGTTGCTGTTTGAACCAATGATGGAAAAAGTCCAAAATTGGTCCTTATTCACTATTTCAGAAATCCAGGCCCAACTCACTGAGCAAAATTTCTTCTGTGAGCTTAAATGGACCAAGAATTTGATTTGGTTAACAAGGCCCATGGTCCATTATTGAAGTCAGACTGTGACCCAGCAAAAGAGTCAAAGGGGAACAACCTTTCTTACAGAGGATGCACGCGATATGGGGGAAGAAATTATGATAAAATATTTTATCTTTCACTCGGAGAGCAAAAACAGGACAACCACAAGGCCAACTTGGAGACTTTCGATATAGGCAATTTAATTCGCAAGAAGATAAAAACTTGTAATGATGTTGTGGGATCCCAACATTCCTTTTGTCTATTCATCACTAGCGCATTCAAGCCATCAGTCTATAAATAGAGAGCCTCACGGCAGGCATCGGGGACTCTCTCTCCAAACAAGACTTAACGTCTGTAAACAAAAAACAACCCTCAAAGCTTTCAAAACAGCCAACTCACTACTCAGATTATCCAGTCAGCAACTCCTGCGATCATCTTCTTTATTGCTATGCCAAACACTTGGTATGATTTATTAGCATCACTGCTAATCCTTTCTAGATACTGTACTAAAAGTGTTCATTTATTATATGAACGTCTGCAGTGTTCAGCGTTAGGAAGTTTGTATTACATTCAAAGCTTGTAGCATTTCATATCTCTGTTCACCTGCCATCATAATAAAGATCGGACAAAAATGTTTTTCATTTCCAAGTGCCTATTCACTTTCAGTTGTAATTTATTTCAGTATTTATCTTAACTTTACTAAGGGCATACATAGCTTATCTCGTAGAGAAAGCCCGTTTAAGGGCCTTCGCTAAGCCCGATCAACAGCATCTGGCTGGTAGAGGGCTTTGCATTTGCCCGGGTTTGTTCTTACCCGGTGAATAGTACCTATCCCCTACAGGGCCTCGTCCTGCCTGATAATGATAAATACTGCCTCACAGACGAGAAATCAGGGAGAATCCCTGGAGAATCTAAGAATCAACTTACCCATCTATGTTGAGAAGGCGTCTATTGCTCTGCCCGATATATAGGGTGGCCGTTTTGGATTGTCATCGGAGGAAGAAGAAGTGGAAGAGTCACTGTTCGACTCTACCCTACTCACTAGCTTTTTCTGAACTTCTTTCTGAACTTTCTTCTGGACGTTTTTCTTGGGAGCCATTCGAAAATTTGTTGTTAGATCAAAAAATAACAGTTAGGGTTTTTCAAAGTTCTTCACATTGGCTTAGAGACGAAAGAAGAAATGGAATAGGCAAAGGTTGCGACTGGATAGTTTTAAAGATTGGCGCCACTCGCTTTCTCGAGCCGTCAATTAGATTTTCCTTGCCATGGATGCTACAAAGAAAAATGATTTAAGATAAGCAGATGCACAGTATACAGTTTAATCAGACCAATAATTGTTGGAGTTTTTGTGTGTGTGCATATGTGGAGAAAGGGAGAGAGAGTACGTATACCAGATCTAATATAGTACCTATCAGGGTCATATGGAGCAAACTCCTTGAATGTACCAGTCTTCACAATATCGGTCCAGTCAGGAAGCCCGATCTATTAGGAAGAACAAACAAAAACATGAGAAAATGCCATATGCAGTTAAGTTCTTTTTAATTTTTTTGACGAATTATCATCCAACAATTTGGTTTTCTCATTATAAGCCAAAATCAGTTTCCTCTATTAAAAAAACTACATCTTTAACAAATCAAGAAAAACCAAAATTGACCCATATAATAGATCCAATGAATCCCACCGACGCAGCCTCCCATTTCAATTTTTTTCCCTAAGGGCATTGTCAACATGGGTCCTCCTGAAACTGAAC